TTGGCCGGCTCTTGAAAGTTCGGCACGAGGCAACCATTCGTTGTGCGGGCCCAGCCACTAGTCATACCTGCAGCAGCAGCCGCTTTCTTGGCTTTTTCAGCCTTCTCTTCCTTAGCCTGCTGTCGATGGATTCTGTTAGAAAGTGTGGAAATGGGGAGAGAGAGAGAGAGAGAGAGAGAGAGAGAGAGAGAGAGAGGGAGAGAGAGAGAGAGAGAGAGAGAGAGAGAGAGAGAGAGAGAGAGAGAGAGAGAGAGAGAGAGAGAGAGAGAGAGAGAGAGAGAGAGAGAGAGAGAGAGAGAGAGAGAGAGAGAGAGAGAGAGAGAGAGAGAGAGAGAGAGAGAGAGAGAGAGAGAGAGAGAGAGAGAGAGAGAGAGAGAGATAGAGAGAGAGAGAGAGAGAGAGAGAGAGAGAGAGAGAGAGAGAGAGAGAGAGAGAGAGAGATAGAGAGAGAGAGAGAGAGAGAGAAAGAGAGAGAGAGAGAGAGAGAGAGAGAGAATTGTTGTTGTGTCGTATACGAAGCAGCAGTGAGTGCTGAAAACAAAGAGAGTTACTACTTTGGTCTCTCAGAGACACCATTCAAGGCATGACTCAACAGCCACAAGCTGTCAATGCGCCATGTGAAATATCAACACAGCACGGAGCTTTCGAGCCACAGATGATCACTGAAAAACGAAGGAAAGGAACACAGCGTAAAATGGAGAGTGATGAACAGGGCCAGCTCATACAGCCCAGCCTCCAAGCGCTGCAACTTGTGCCTGGCGGAGAAGCTGAATATTATCACTGCGGACAAAAAGCGCACTGCTGAATGCACGGCGCGAATTCGTCGCGAAGTGCAGGCACAACAGCAAATACATGCTAGCCAAGTGTACAGGCGTTACATAGACTCTCTGTTAAGTCTCACATGGAAAGTACCTCCACAATCTTACAATCGTATCACTACCCCTCACCATCAGTAGCTCCAAAAGAGCGCAATTCGTTAGCACAGGTTATCAGATCTAGCACTGGGCCCCACAATTTCACAATGTTATCACTTGCTCCCCACCTCATAGCTCCAAAAGAGCATTGGGACAGACTATTAGAGCTATCACTGGACACACAATTTTACAAGTTTATCACTTGCTCCCCTCCTCGCCATCAGTAGCTCCAAAAGAGCGCAATCTACTGGCACATATTGCCAGACCTAGCACTGAAATCCCTGCACCCTTCGACCCTATGTAGACTATTTATTTAGTGTTTTCTACTGTGAGTGTCATTATGAAATTGTCTGATGAGTGCTTTTGCACGAAACTCGGAGAAACAACGAATTTCTCGGCTATCCGTCCCTTGATGACTTGCACATATATACATCTCTCAGTAAATACATACATACAAACATACATACATACAAATGCCGTCATGCCAACAAGTTTCAACTCGGCCGGGTAACGTCATGAACGACAAAATTCATACATGAGCCACGCCAGGCTGGGGGTGGCTGTTTTGCCCGTCGAGGCCGGGGAGGTGGCGGTCGGGGCTGGGTTCCGCGGGGCGCGGGAATGGTGAGCACTCCCCGGGGCTCATGGCTCACGTGCTTTGGCGGGTCTTGGCTTCTGTCGCCATTTTTCCAATGCCTTTGCGGGTGTGGTAGCCGCCTCCTTGCCTGGCGTGAGTGATTCCCACAACACAATCCCCATAACCTTTTTACCACCCTAGGTCACAATGTGATGTGTAACTAACAATGAAACACAAATCCGTACTGATGTGTTGCCAGAAAATCGCGCTGTTTCTCTATACTCTCAACATCTTTTTCCTCTTTCTCTGATTTTGTCATCCCTTTTCATCGCGCTATTGAAATGTACCTCCATCACCTTTGCCCCTTCTCCCCTTCTCCGTATATATTCTAGTGATTGTTAGTCTTGGTCATATGCTGTCTGATGAAGTGTTTTGACACGAAACTCGGAGTACCAGCGAAATGAGACTTGTTTGATTCATTGCTGTGTAATATTTGTACATACATACATAATATAGCAGACTCAGCAGAGGACGTTCAGGTTGGTTGTAACTCTGAGTTTTATGCTGTTAGGCAATCATCAGACAACTGAGTTATCTGATGATTGCCTAACGGCTATGTACTAAGCTCTGTCTCTGACATTGAGCACTCTCTGCAGCTCAGGGATCAACGGATTTGTTAAATACATACATACATACAAACATACAGAAATCAATGGCAGGTTTAACTTGAACGAAATATCACATTGGCTTTCTATCCATACGCATACCCATCTTCCTGCCCTCATATGAACACACACACACATGCACACACACACACACACACACACACACACACACACACACACACACACACACACACATACACACATACACACACGGAAACAAGCTCACTCACCGCTCTACGTAAGACTCCTTGGCTCTGGCAACGGTCAGAGTGCTGCCATTCCATTTCTTCTTGTTCAAGCTGGCTATGCCTGTAGACGCGGAGGAAACACGTGTAGAAACACAGCACAAGACATTACAATGCTGTTTGGCGAGCTCAAACTCCCAGTCTCGCCCTACCCAAGACAGCCTGTGTGCCGTGCACAAACGTAGTCCAGAACAGTGAGTGAGGTAGTGCTAGAAACATAAAGTAGAATCTGTCAAGGTGACCGCTCGCATAACGCAGGCGACCACCTGTCCAAGAGGACCACTGACAACCAGGAGCAAGGGTAGGCACTTCAGTCACGTGACCAGGCCTGTCAAATTTTGCTAAGGCTGTGAGAGTGCGTATTTGAGTGGCACCAGCCGAGTACCCAAGTAAAACCGGGGTAAGTACTAGCTGCGCTGCGTCGTACTGGATAATGGACCGGTTCATCTTGATGCTATGACGTTCAGCTTTCAGTAGAGCCCACATACGTCACCGTGCGTACCTTTTCACGAGTTGCGTGCCATGTGTACTTCCTGAAGAGTATTTAGTTTTCAGGCGGAACAGTTGTTTGCTGCAAATGTCCGCCCCATTTTTGCAAGATCTGCTGGCCCTTACACACTGACCCCATGGCCCATGCACTGTCACCCCTACTGTTGAAAAGTGCATCTCACACCGTAGCGTGAAGAGGGCATTGCTACGGTAGACTATGTCCACTTTCCTGGTTTCAAAATCTCTTCGGGCACCGTAGCAACGAGCTAGCTCTTAGGGCCGGGTTCCACTGCGGCTCCGCTGCTCGTTTTTCGCGGCTTGAAACGTCATCATTACCATAGTGACCGCGGCTCGAGCTGGAGCAGCGAGGCCGCGGCTCACCGCGAGCTTTTGCTATGATTCTTGACCAAAAACTGCAAACCGCGGTCGTGGCTCGACCTGTTTCCCGTACTTTGCATTGTTTCGTACGCCAGAATTTTAAAATTCAAAATTTTATTCGTTGCGCAGGCCAGAACACGAGGATTTTTTGATTTCGCGCGCGCGCGCGCGCAGGCAGGTAAAACGTCATCAAAAAGTGTGGACCACGACCGCGGTACCGCGAATGGCGAGTGTCATGTGGAACCGCGCTGCTCCGCTGCATGCAGCCAAGTGCCCCGGAGCAGCGGAGCAGCGGAGCCGCGGAGCAGCGGAGCAGCGGAGCCGCGGAGCAGCGGAGCAGCGGAGCCGCGGAGCAGCGGAGCCGCAGAACAGCAGTGGAACCCGGCCCTTAGTGATTTTATGATGATTGTTTTATTTCGCATATCCAAACGGGAGTTTCCTTTGAATAACAACAGGGATGAATTTACTGTCACGTTTTTGCATAGCAGTTTTTGCTATGCAAAATCTAATTTGTGGCGCAAGCTACAAAAAGCATGGATCGCCTGTACATGCATGTATCGCAGTTTTCTGCGTGTCACTGTGATTTGAGTAGCAGTAGATCGATTTTGCGTAGCAAACTGCGATGCGATACAGGATAAATTCATCCCTGAACAAGGTAGCAAAGAACAGAGTATTGCAGGAAACAAATACACTTTTGAGCTGACTGTGTTTCTAGCCATTATTTCCAAATCACGCATCACGCAAAGGCAAGGGTTTTTCTCGAGCACTTCAGAGTTTTCAACAAGTTAGCAGCGACTTTGTAGGTGAAGCTTCTGTGACATCCCCCCCCCCCCCCCCCCCGTCTGTTCGACTTGTAACTGCAATACTGCGACCGGTCAAGTCGTTGAATGACGCTTCGTCAGAACAATCACCGTTTCGTTTTGAAAGCGCGACATCGTGTTACTGCAGAAATGTCATGATTTTAAAACCAGATGGATTCTGCCTCATCACCACATGGACAACGAAGTGATAACAAAGACGACTCATTTATCGAATGAAAGGAAATCTCGACAGAAGTTTATCTGTGCAGCAAGATAATGACAATCGCTTTTGCAGAGCAAGGCAGTTTGCTGGCATAACAGTCACTCTCGTACGCATACGACCTTCATGCCAGTTGTTTACAACTATATTGACCTGAAAAAGACGAAAATAGTATGGACCAGCTGGGGTGGGCGTTTGCTGCGAAGTGGGCGTTTTCAGCGGACTTTACGGAACAGCTTATCATCTTCAGCGTCGTCTTTCCATTCGAAAACAGTTGAGCTCTTGTTCACAAGGGTTTGCGCATGCCTGCGCAAAGAGGAATAATGGATGAAAGTAGTGAGGAGAAGGATGCGCCTGATGTGAAGAGGAAAAAAGATCCTTACATGGGCGAATTCTGCAAGCGTGCCGAACTCCCCAAGAAATTATTGCTGGAACAAGTAACTAATTTGTGAATCCAGAAGCCAAAGCGCGACCCATCTTCTGCTATTGACAGTGACAAAGTCCATCATTGAGTGAACAGATTGTTGCTGGAGCCGATGTGCTTGCAACAGACAGAACATATTTCAGATGGGATTCTGCACTCGTTGCTGCTGAAAGCTTTTCGGGAGAAAGGACATACTATTTCTCTTAAAGGTGTGCATGGACAGCTCCAACGATTGAACGATGAACCAGTCAAACTGCGGAAGTCCAGAAAACGCAGCCCAGGTGCTTTCTTGGATTTCTTAAATTAAGGCCTTCAGTTTAAAGTCCGCCAGCACAGATGAAGGTGATGTTTCTTCACCATCCCCCTCATCACCATCAGTACAGCCACGGATACCAGTCTCCGTAGCTGTATGCAGCTCATCAGCTCTGAGCCAGTGCAGTGACCTGGCTGACTATGCAGTGGGTGTTGCCCTTGCTACAGAAGCAGGAGAGCTGTCGAAAAAAACTAGAAAAGAAAGATGACGAGATTGAACAGTACAGGTCAAACCTCCGCAAGGCACGCAAAGCATTGCGACGCCAAAGTGACAAGACTGATGAGGCGGAAGAGTAAGCAGATACTGGTGTGCATGAGACCAAGGAGTATTATCAAAAACTTCTGAACAGCCACCATCAACGGAGGCACCAGCTTAAAACGAAGCTGGCGACCATGCAAGGTGCTGTGGATGGGCTGCAGGAAGAAGAAGTACCGTCATCGCGGAGTCGTTTGCTTTCTGCAGAAGCTGAGAATCAGCCCTGGGGTCGCATGCTGATGCTTTCCAAGAAGAGCCATGCAGTGGTGAAGTAATGCCTACACTGTCGGGCGGCAAGTACTTGCCAGAGGTACACCAGTGCTGCTGCTTGGAGGTACTTGCATGCAATGTTGGTATCTTTAATGTATGGAATCACGGTCATAAACAGTGTGCTAGCTCTAGTGGGCTAGAAAGCTGATCGTCTGCCATCGCATGGGTTACTCTAATAATAATTTTTATTATTATTAGACACAATATCATAGCTTGTGACAAGCATAGCTAATGCAGGGACAGAATCCCCTGAGATAAGGGCGTTGAGCCAGCCACGGCAAAATGTATGTGGAACTGAAAGGCCTGGCAATCCTTCAGCTTGCCGATGAACTAGCTGAAGAGGAAGACATGCCTCTGCATAGCGATGGCACGAGCAAGCACGGCAACAAGTACGGAGCCTACCAGATCTCCGCCAGCAAGCAGCGTGTGTACAGTTTGGGCATGGTGAACATGTACCGTGGAACTGCCAGTCACACTTTAGAAATGCTGACAGCTGTCTTGGATGATATTTCGAAGATGTCAGCTGCAGAAGCAGAAGGAAAGGCTGGTGCTGGCAACCACATTATCGCGAATACCAAGAATAAAGACTAAGGCCATTTCGGAAAGTGACTTTGGCAAGCTCGACAGATACCTCTGAGAAAAGTCAAACTCTGATAAGGTGGCTCTTGAAGGCCTACTGATGTTTACAAACAATCGAAAGGCAAAGCGGTTGCGGGATAAATCCTCCGATGAGAGAGATTCCTTAATAGATGTAGCCAAACGAGCAACTCCTAAGTTCCGTGAGGATTTCAAGGCTCCCCAGCCGGCGATTCAGGACTACTGCATGGAGCAGTTAAAGGAGAAAGAGGCAGGTATTGCACACAAGCTAGAACAACCGCAGAAGAAAGAGACGTTGACAGCAGAGATCACGGGTGTAGATGGATTCTGGATATCTAAGGAGGTAGTGAAAGAGCAGCTGTCCAAACTGCCTTGTGTCGCGAACAAGCACCTTGCACTAAACCTCAGCTGCACTTCCGCAAGTTCGTTTTGTTGCAAAAGGCTTCAGCTTCCAAGTTTGCACTTTCGTCAGGTGGAAAGTAGTTACCAGTAGGGGAACTGCTTGCCAACTTGGTATCCCTATTCGAAGTGGCAGGAACGTGTGCATGTGTGTAGTGCAGGAATTCCGCTGTCATTTTGCGTACATGCTAGCTGGTGTGTGCTAAGGGCCCGGTCACACATGCACTGGGATTCGCTTCGGCGACGAGGTTCGGCGGCAGCGAGCCTGGTGTCGCTCCAGCGAAACCACGTGTGTATGGTCACACATACAAACAGGGCACAACTCCTACTTTGGCGGAAAATGAGACTGTGGTGCATAAGGTACGGAGAATCGACGAGGTCAATGACTATCTTGCACGCATTTTTGTTGCATGGACATCATACGCATACAAATTTCTCGTAGCAAGTCCATATACAGCAGACCGTGGCGTTTTCCGCTGAAGCGAATCCGCAGAAGCGATAGTCTCGCTTCGAAAATTTTGGAGGAAGCGGATTGGAGTTTCCGCTAAGGGCCCGGTCACACATGCACTCGAAAGTAGCGTATACGCTGAAGCGAGGTCGCAGGAGCGAAAAATGGCATGGCATCGGCGAAAAGCGGAACTTCCGCTTCAGCGGAAACTCCAATCCGCTTCCGCCAAAATTTTCGAAGCGAGACTGTCGCTTCTGCAGATTCGCTTCCGCGGAAAACACCACGGTCTGCTGTATATGGACATGCTACGAGAAATTTGTATGCGTATGATGTCCATGCAACAAAAATGCGTGGAAGATAGTCGAAACCTCGTCTATTCTCCGTACCGAATGTACCACTGTCCACTTTACTCTCATTTTCCGCCAAAGTAGGAGTTGTGCCCTGCTTGCATGTGTGACCATACACACGTGGTGTCGCTGGAGCGACACCAGGCTCGCTGCCGCCGAACCTCGTCGCCGAAGCGAAACCCCAATGCATGTGTGACCGGGTACATACGGTACGGAGAATAGACGACGTTGATCCTGATATGGCTATTGGTGTCACTGAGTGGTGTGTGCTTGAAAAAAAACACTTTTAATGTTTTGTGGCTATATCCACTGGATATGCTCTGGAAATGCTGTTGCTGCCACAAATTGTATGGTTTTGGCCTTATGCAATTGCCGACTGTAAAACCAGAAAGTCTAACGAGTCACAAAGTCTAACGTTTTAACGACCAAGTTTTTTCGTTATTTGAAGAAACGTTATCCCAAACCCGGTTCGAGATGTCTGTGTAAAGATGTGCATACATCGATGCATGTTCTGGGTGGCCAGGTGGCCAAACTTTCTGTACGGTATCAATATCATGCCAGAATTGCAATAACTTTAAACCAACTTTTTGGTCGTTAGACTTTCCGGTTTTACGGAGTCTTCAACACTTCATACCTCAGTGGTATCGTTGTGGATTTCAATAAAAAAATTGTGAGCTTGTGATATCCAACTCTGTCGATTGCCAATGAAAAACCCGGAAAAAACCGATTTGAAAAAAAAAGGGTGAAGTGCCTAGCAACGGGCGTCATTTCCAGTTGAATGATCATGGACAAGGAAACATCGGTACCACATTTGTAAGTTCAGGTGAGCGGGCGGCTTAGACGGGCTGCACTGTACGTTGGCAGACGGTGTGCATGGAACAATTACATGTGCGGGCTACATTCTTCCGTGACGTGCAACACACAAGAATGGCAACAAGGATACGCGTAATTCAAGCACACATTTGTGCAGACAACTCACAATTGTTGATAGCTTGCGGCGTGTTCTGGAGTGTGACGTACGCGAATACCTTCAATTTGGTTCCTGCAGAGAACAACGACACAAACAATTGACTTTCAAAGTCAGGGCAACAGTCACTTAAAACTTCCTTTCTGCATCCCTAAGAAAAGAACACCCCACCCCCATTGCCAGTCAAGGCATCAGATGCACTTTACACTAAACGCTACAGGTGGGAAAATCAGACTCCTACAAAAATGATCAAGACTAAAAATCCGATATCATCCACACCCAACACCCACCCACTATCCACCATCCACCGAACACCCACCCACCATGCACCCACCATCCACCGAACACCCATCGAACACCCACCATCCACCATCCACCCAACACCTAGCCAACCGTCAGCACCAGCTCCATTACATGTGAAACTTGAGTTGACGTTATCCTGCCCTGGTTGGACGGTTTTCATAGCGCTGCTCGAACCTAATTTCAACCTAGCCCCGAACCTCATCTGTCTGTTAGTAGTGACCGAGCCTACTCGCGACAAAAGGGTCACTTTGACTTCCGTGACACTTCGTAGAAAATCGCGTGCAAAGTTTGAAGTGGGGAAAATCCCGTTTTTTGAGAACGCGTCATCTTTTTGTGTTCCTACACGAAGCTGTTGCGCAACATCGATTTTACGTCACCGGTTGTGCGTGCGCCTTGGTAACAGCTTCACGCAGCAGTTTATTTGAGCAAAATCCGTCAAGGGATCTCAGTTTTCTTATTGTTTGAAATTAAGGAAGAACAGTGATTTTTTGACGTGGCGTGGTTTGCGAGCGCTGTCAGCTGTTTCTTGACGTCGACTTGTTGTTTGACTGTTGCGGACGAACAATGAGCCATCCAATTTATTTTACGACTGATGCGGCACTTGCCGCTGTCCTCGCTGAAGCTGAAGACGAATTGTGTGGACGGAAAAGCGACCAGGCGCACGCCAGCACCCCTGCCACGGAGAATGTTGTTTCTTCGGATGACGAGGAGAGCGAAGGCGTCCCTGATCACTTCTAGGATGATGAACTGGACATAGCTCATGCTGCTGCGCAGTTCAACGCTTTGGCCGTTGACGATGCAGATGTGGCAATGGCCGAGGACACAACAGAGGCTGTTGATGAGGAAGGCACTGATGCACATGATGATGTTGAGGCTGCTTGCTACTGCTGCTGAAAATTCTGGCAATGTGTTTGGCTGCTCCGAGAATTGTCTTTCGAAATATGCGAATGCACAAGACGAACAAACCCAGATGGCAATGACAGAGATGGAAAAAGGAGATGCAGACATGCTGTTGATTGGCATCCTAGAGTCATCTAAATTCAACCAGGACACAACCACCAAGCAGAAGAAGCGGAAGTATGTTGCGTTCGGCTGCACTTGCCTTGGACGGCATGTGTGCGTGAAGGCGTTCCATGCCATTTACGGAGTGGGAACAAAACGCCTCCGCAACCTTATCGGCCACATAAAGGAGCACTGTCCAGTGCCCAGACAGCATGGGAACACGGGAAGAAGGCCAGTGCATGCCTTGCGCTTCAAGCAGGTAGAAGGAGTGGTGAAGTTCATCAAATCCCTCAGTGAGCAGTTTGGCATCCCTCATCCCGCGCCTCTGCATGGCCGAAGTGCGCGGCCGCCGGTGTATCTTCCAGCACGCATGTCGTACACCAGCAACCACCAAGAGTGCCTGCAGGCACCTGGTGAGGCTCATGCGAAGCCTGTCGGGCTAACCAGCTACCGTGAGATTTGGTCGCAGTGTATGCCGCACATCCAGTTTGTGACGCCCAGGACAGATGTCTGCGACAGGTGTGAGCAGTTCCGGAGGGGTGTGGTCAGTGCGCTAGGAGAAGACGCCAAGCTAGAGGCATGCGCTCACCTCTCGTCACATGTAGGTGAGGCACAGAAGGAACGAGATGTGTACAAAGAAGCCACAGTTGCTGCAAAGTCTGAGCTAGATGCATTCCATGTACCAATTGCCCCGCCATGCCTCCCTTGTAGCAATGACCTCCATTCTATTCATTACACTTTTGATTTTGCTCAACGTGTTGCTCTCCCTCACAATACTCGTCAAATAGGTCCCTGTATTTTAAAGTTCCACGTAAAGCTCATATATTTGGTGTAAATAATTAAGCCGTGCCCCGTCAAATCAACTATTTGCTTGACGAATGTGACACCATTGGTGCAGATGGCAAGAAGGGCCATGGCCCCAATACTGTTGGCTCGCTGCTTCGCCACTACTTTGAGACGTATGGCTATGGTGAGAAAAGCTGTGTGCTGACGGCTGATAACTGCGGTGGACAGAATAAGAACAGGACTATTGTCGGCTATTTGGCATGGCGATGCATTGTAGGCCTGCATTGCTGCATCACGTATAGCTTCATGCTGGCTGGCCACACGCGATGTTTAGTGGATGGCTGCTTTGGTCTGCTCAAGCAAATATTCCGCCGGAGTGACTGCTACTCCATGGCACAGCTCGCCACTACTGTCAACGAAAGTGCCACCGTCAACGTTGCGCAGTTGATCGATGACAGTGTTCCGTGGTATGCCTGGGATGCCTTTATCAGTCGGCACTTTAAACTCCTGCCTGGCATTTCAAAGCTGCACCATCTCGAGTTCTCATCTGCTGACCCTGGCGCGGTGCTTACAAAAGTGCACAGTGAGTCTGAGCAAGTCAAGGTCTCCCTATTGAAGTCCTCTGTCGAGGAAATCCGTGGGGCTGGGCTGCTTGATGTGTTGCCGTGTGCAGGAATGTCAATTGAGCGCCAACAGTACCTGTTCAAGCACATCCGCTAGCATGTCCCCCCCCCCTCCCCCGGGTTTCAGGAAGGACTATGCGGGGTAGTATGCCCTCGACCTGCTGTTGCTGCTGCTGAGGTCCAGAACGCAGATGCCTGATCGTCATGCCTATTACAGTCGACTTCGCTTATAACGACACCCGGCGGGGCATCAGAAAAGTGTCCTTATTCGCCAAGTGTCGTTATACCCAAAGTCTCATTATAATATGTCACAGTTGGATGGGACTTTGCTCTGGGCATGAAAATGCTGTCGTTATTCACGAATTGTCGTTATATCCGCAGTCGTTATTCGCGAAGTTGACTGTATCTCTTTCTGAACTCTTTTTTCCTTCTTTTTTTACTTTTTCCGAGAGCTAAATGTCCGTATGCTGTATCACGTGTGCATCCACCACACAATAAGTAGTTTCTTTTACCTTTGTAGAAAGAACTAGTCATCATCAAGTGTCCCTGTATTCGTTTCCATGCTAAGTTGATACTAAGTTGATAACATTGCCGTGCTCATTCATAAACAACACTCATACGATGTATTCGAACATTCCCGTATTTTCATCCTCGTGCACCACGAAAATCGTATATACTTACCGGCATGGAAATAGCCGTAAATCTGCAACGGATTCATACTTTCCAGTCCGTTTTTTTGCATCATATTCTGTGATAATCAAGGAATCACATCCCAGTAAATTCTCAAAATTGACCCCTGGAGCCAATGTGACCCTTTTCTCGTGTGCGGGCTCGGTCACTGAGTGTTACTGTCTTAGGTTGCGTTTGGTTGGGCATTTTCAGAATGTAAATGACAACCATTCTGGAATGGGAATCGGCAAGAATCACCTGACCAAACTAACGCGCCAGAATCAATTAGGAATCACTTGATATAACAATTCCATGATGTCGTTGTGGAACGGCGGCTGTCTTTTCTTTTACCCGACTCTAGTTTCCTTCAGAGAGTAATGGTACTTCTGACGGTTCTGAGTGCATGATTTGAGGCACTTGAACCTGTTGCTACATTGTTTGGCTCGTGGCAGCCATAATCATTTTTGATTCCGGAATGAGAATGCTCATTCCAGCATGTGAGGTGGAATGATCATTCTCCAAAAAGAATCATTCTCAGCGATTCCCATTCTGGAATCATGTGAATGTGACCAACCTAACGCACTTTTTTGACCAACCAAACGGGCGAGAATGATTTCGAGTGATTCCAAGTGATTCCTATTTGGGAATGTGACCAACCGAACGTAACCTTAGTCTGATTCTCTTTCTTGACCAGACTCTATCGCAACTTAGGGCATGTTTGATTGGTGAATCCGGATTCAGATCAGAGTCACTGGAGCAGTCAGAACACCAGTTACCAATCAAACAGAAAGGCGAATATTTTTGCCGGAAATATTGTAGAACTCATGATAGCTCATCGTGCCGCAAACTTCAAAATCTCCACAGAGTTCAACGATTTTTACATTGCTCAAAATGCGAAGGCAAAACACACTTGAAAGGCAACTACAACCGGAGAAGAAGCTTCGAAGACAGCCAAAAAATCAATCATGGACGTGGGGACCGCCGTGTAATGTGCAAAATCACACGTAGACCTCCATGTACATCACCACGCCCTTTCGTAATCACTGACATGCCAAAATCCATTCGAATCAAAACAAAAAAACAAAACTCATTGCGTAGTCCTGTCAGGTTTTCATTGGGCTTTGCAACATCTTCTGGCTGCTCCAGCCTCGGGGGTCGGAGTGGTCAGAACATGTTCTGAACACTCCAAAACCAGAGCAGACCAGTGCAGACCAATCAAACACCCCTGTTCTAAACGATCCTGTTCCGGATCCGACCAATCAAACGCGCCCTTAGAATCAACTCGTAAAAACTCCAAGTCAATCTCCCATTGACACAAACCTCGTTTATTCAACATAATCATATTCTATCCAATAAAAACGGTTCATAAAAACAGTTCATAAAAACAGTTCATAAAAACAGCTTTTTAAGATCGGACCAGTCCGCATAACAAAGAGAGCTAGCTCCCTTGGCTGCTGTTGGAATATGCAAGAATGGGCCTTCCAGATAAGGTCTAACAAGGAGAAGTGGCTATAGTTATGAAATGAACACCGGTAACCATGGAGACAGACCACACTCTCATTATAGCTACTGGTTATAAATAGACCGAATAAGGAAAATGATCTGATAGCCTATGAAGACTAAAAGAAATTGAACCAATGACAACAAATACTCGTCCAGCACACGAGTTGTCATAGCAACACAAATAACAGCTGTCCACTAATTTTGTTGTTGGAGATTGAGTAGGAGTTTTTACTGGTTGATTCTAAATACAATAAAAGCTCCGGCCTTGGGTTTATGACCAATAAACCCTCGGCCTCCTCATTTATTGTATACATAGAACGTCACAAGCAAACAAAACAGTACTTTAAGCATGGCAGACACATACACTTACCAGGTAGGCCTTCTCGCGTCACCATGCACACGTTCTTCACGGTGCCGTGAGAAGAGAAGTGTTGGCTATAGGGGTGCACCACCAGGACACGTGACAGCACATACGGGAGCACGAGAGACCCGGAGCAGCACACGAGAGCACACACGCGAGCGCACGAGAACATTTGCAAATACACACAAGCGAACCCAAGAACGCGTACACACACACATACAAGCACACCAGAACACACGAGCACACAAGCACACGAGCATGCGAGAACACACGAGCACACAGTAGAAACACACATATTGTGCACGCTAGTTATACTGCATAGGACTCGTCTACATGTATGTAGGATGGCACTCCTTTTGATATGTCACATGCATGTACAGTATGTGTGTTCAGTAATCCGGTTCCCTCGCCTAGCCGGATATTTTTTATGGAAAACGGATGTGTGCAGTAAAGCGAGGTCTGACTGCACCTAAATCAACAGGTGGCTCCAGACCAAACACACAGCAAAGAGGTCAGCCATCAGAAACCGTCAGAAAACACACAAACAAAAACCGTATGATGAAGCCTCGGTTGTCAGGGAAGGTGTGAACAGGGCTTGAAAGTGATGACGTCAATCGTCGCTTGGCAACAAAACTGGATCTACTTCGCTTTTTGGATCCACTCGCGTCAAGCTGATTTGATGCTGTTTCCCATACTTTTCGAAGCAGAAAGAAGCTACATTTTGAGAAGAGGCCACTTGAAGAACTATGGGAGCAATTTTCGATACCTAGTATACTCTTGACCCGGCAGGGCGGCTTCGTATGACCATGGTGCAGTGTTTTGCAGCAGAATGCAACCACAGGACAGAGGATCGCAAGTGCAGCTTCTTCCGATTCCCGGCGAGGGATCCACAGTGCAGAGAGATATGGAGGAAGATGTGTCGGTAAGGATATGTAGGCAGCCTGTACAGTACCTGGATAGTTGTTATCGTGATGTGCTATTCACGCTATGAGTAAATGCTTACCAAGTCTGCTAATGCGTTTTGCTTTGCTGGCGGATGGATGGCGTAACGCTTTTTCACAGTTTGTATTTTGTTCGATCGAGTGGAAGTAATTTTTTCAATTATTTTTTTATTTTCCCATAGTTGCAGGGAGGCCTACTTGTAGTTGTTGCCATAGGTCATTACTTCAAACATTTGGTTGGCGACGGATGTGCGTAAATATCTACGGCGTGATAAATTCTTCCTCAGATTTTTCTCTTTCATATCCTGCACGGCATGATTTACTCAAACCCAGATGCATAGCAGCTCACATGTGTTACAGTGCATGGCATACATGAAAGATCAGTGCAGTGTACAATGTAACCTCAAGAGTATAATTATAACTCCCCAAGAGTGTGCAACTCCTGATACCCTTTCTATGGGGTACGTCGACGGCGAAAACTCCCATCACGTTGTCCAGTGTCGCAGTTGTACGTTTCCAGCCCCTTTTTAGCGAGCAGCGGAGTAATAAAAAAATAATCTCTGACAGAAACTCACTGCGGGTATGCAAACCCCAGCAAAATCATGGCAGATATTCGGATTGCACGCACGCAATCCTTCGTTTGTGCGAAGTACGAACGTATCAGAGACATGTGATATGAGTTTTCGCCGTCGGAGACTCCATGTGCAGAGTTGCACACTCTTGGCTGAGTCTTGGAGGGTTATATACTCTTGGTAACATGAAGTCTGTGGACTCCACAATCTGCGCAGTCGACAACGTATTTGTGCTACTGTCAGAGTCAGTACCGTACCGAGTGCTCAGAACATGTGGGGTACAGGTACACACTTCACACGTCCTTTCGACCGCAATGCATGGCATGCATCGCACATTTTCGTTACACAACCCTGACCTTGAGTCGCAAGTAGGCGCATCTGCGTCGCAAACTGCCATGCGAAGTAGGCGCATCTGCGTCGCAAACTGCCATGCGATAAGGGATAAATCATGCCCTGCCGTGCTAACTTATATTTTTGGCAGAACGATTTTGTTTTTAATCAATGATAGCCGTCTAGGCTAAGCTAAACCAAATGAGTACATGAGCAAGACTGTGCAAACCCTTATACAATCATGTAGGTGGCTTTTTATGATGCAATCTATTGTGACTATTTACTATTGTTTCAAGTTATTGAGCAGCTAGCTAAACCCTCCTGGATATTGTTTGCTCTGTACTTTGCCGGCGACAAGACAAGGAGCCAGATGCCAGTTCTCGACTATGTAGCTGTCATTTTAAAGACGGAGATAGAAAGAAGGACCCTACTATATTTCCACGAAATAAGGATAAGGCGTTTGGTTTTCAGGACCCTGAACCAATGCACAGAAGGTATGTAGTCTAGGTCAATGTATGAGATTTGTATATTGAACTTGATGTTCTTCTGAAGCGATTTCTAAATTTGTTTTGAGATCCTCCTAAATGAAGTGTGCTATGTGAATTCTAGTAGATGGACCAGATCAGTATTTCATAACACTGTGAACCATCGACGGGCAATCTTTCATTTTTGTTTTGCTTCTCACTGTCTCTCCATTATTTCGTGCAGAAAACGGACTGTAAAGGCATTAGCTGTTGATGATACGGACAAGGACGGTAGCGAACCAACTGAAGCTGACCCGTTTGAAGCTGAACGTGAAGCTGCTGAACGTGAAGCTACTACAATGCAACGCCTGCTTGAACTTTTCCAACGCATCGACAAGTCAATCCTCGAAGTGAAGTATGATAAGCTGAAGGCTGAAGTTAGTGCCTTAGAAAAGCGAAAAGCGAAGTTGGAAATCCAGGTCTGTTTCGAATTTATTTCCCGGAAAGCTGAACTTGTCCGGCACTACACCGGCTTGCCGTCTGCTGACGATTTTCGTATCCTGTTTCGTCTTTGCAAGAGGTTCCCGATAGAGTATCACCAGGGCTGGCGAGTGGAGCTGGTACCAATGGAGCTAGAGTATCACTAGGGCTGGCGAGTGGAGCTGGTACCAATGGGGGTCCAGCTCCTCATTCTGACTGACCTCGGCTTACGTTTCGGCACTTCGCACACCACTATATCTAATATCTTCCATTCATGGCTTTCTGTCCTTCATACTGTTCTCTATCGAGGCATGCTCCCGTCGCAACTTCCGTCCGTCACGAAAAACAAGACTTCTCTACCCGTCTGCTTCTCTACGTTCTCCAGTTGTCGTTTAATACTTGATTGTACTGAAGTCGAAATTGCAATTCCAAGCCGTATGGACACTCAGACGTGGACCTATCCCCACTACAAACATAAAAATACATTCAAAGGTCTTGTGGGTGTCGCACTGAACGGTGTTGTCAATTATGTCAGTCGCCTGTACCCAGGTTCAACCAGCGACAGAGAAGTCGTTCGCCACTGTGGAGTGCTGTCAAAGTTGAGAGCCGGTGACATGGTACTTGCCGATAAAGGATTCCTGATCCATGACTTGATGCCGGCTGGTGTTTCTCTAAATCTTCCTCCTTTTCTCACTACTCCTCAGTTTACAGCTGCTCAAGCAAATGTAACTGCCCGAATCTCAAGAGCTCGGATCCATGTGGAGCGAGCCATACAACGCATAAAGATCTTCGCCATTCTCGACTACATACCCTACCAATACCGTTCTTTCTCCACCGAAATCTTCCAAGTCTGTGCAATGCTAACTAATCTTTGTAATCCTCTCATGAAGCAGATTGAAGCTGGTGACCTCAGCGCTGATCCTCCATCAGAAACTTCTGAGCACACCGACATCTCTACTCTCACACCACTGCAAACCCCTGCTGCTACGCCATCACAGAAACTGCCCATCACACCCGACATGGTGAATCAGTTATTCGCAGTCCTGTCAGCATCAGCCGCAGCACCGTCAGCCAAAGTACAGTCAGCATCAGCCGCAGCACCGTCAGCCACAGTACCGTCAGCATCTGCCAGAAAGACAGGCAAGAAAAAGGTTTTGTAGAATTCCTCAATACGAGCCAAATTTCCTGACCAGGTCGGGTCAGCCCAAATTGGGATGATCACCGTCTCCAACGGAGTCCACACGACAAGGTCGCATACTTCACGACCTGTCAGACATAAGTTACCTTGGATTTGATGGAAATAATTCCATCCAGATTCAGTTGACAACTCAAGGGATAAGTTAGCAGGAAAGGAAGAAGACACTGACAAGAAGAAGGTCTTTTCCTTCGCCATAGCTGCAAGAGATGTCGATCTTGCCGAGTACGGACACTTGACCTCGATGAGCTTTGTTTCGCTAACTACACCATCTGGGGAACCACGAATGAGGCCACATGGTGCAAGCCATAAGCCGCTGGATCTCACAGACACATATTCACACTCCTCATAGCATGCAACAGCCGTACTTTCGTGCATGAGGCCGCACTGGATGGCCTTTTGCCCAGACCAATCATACTGACCAAGAAGGCGGGTAAACAAAGATTTAGATGAATTGCACGCTCTTGGGGGTTATATACTCTTGCTAATATCAAGAGTCTGCCTGTCTTCTGGCACATGCGAATACGTGGACTTACTGTTGACGTAAACGCGGATGTGCGTATACTAATATCAATAAGTATATAAACAAGAGTGTGCAACTCGAGGATGGGTTGGCCCACGATTTTTAATGTGCCCAAGCTCATGGTGAAACAGAAATGATTCCACGCGGTTCGAAGAGTGTGCATTTTCTCCACGCTGGACCAGCCTTGGTTCTCCACTGAAAAAAGTGGCGATGCTAGATAACGGTACTAAAGACATTCTAAAACAAACAAAACGCAGAACTGGGGGCCAGGGGGAAGACAGCAGCCTAGGCTTCTGGTCGAAATCGAAAGAAATATATGTCTCCTCCACTATTTTTAAAGCTGTTCACAAGAGCTCGAGTGGGTAGTGGATCCAGTTCATGTTGCACGTGATCCCGTGACGTAGGACTTTCAAGCCCTATACCGTTGGTATCGGTTATACTTATAGCGTGGGTGTTTGAAAACGACTTTCTATTCTTATTTCCGATATTTCTTGCACACGATAAATAAATCAAGTGTTAAATACCCGATGCATGTGCGCAGAAGCAGGAAGATCATCGTACAGGCAACGTAGTGCTACTGTGCATGCGGCTGGTCATAGTCCCATAGCCACACCATGCGTCTATGCAACATGCCACACCATGCGTCTATGCAACATGACACACCATGCGTCTATGCAACATGCCACACCATGCGTCTATGCAACATGCCACACCATGCGTCTATGCAACATGCCACACCATGCGTCTATGCAACATGACACACCATGCGTCTATGCAACATGACACACCATGCGTCTATGCAACATGACACACTATGCGTCTATGCAACATGACACACCATGCGTCTATGCAACATGCCACACCATACGTCTATGCAACATGCCACACCATACGTCTATGCAACATGACACACCATGCGTCTATGCAACATCACTAGTCTTACCATGCGGCTATGCAACATCACTAGTCTTACCATGCGGCTATGCAACATGAGCTACATGACCACAGTAGTTGAAACCTGCAACACTACAGTACGACGCAACACGAGTCAGATCAGAACTGCATTGGGCAGATGGTATTACTCCAGGCAATACCCGTTGTACAAATCTGGCATGTTTCGCTACACAAAGTCCATTCTTAGGACCGAAATATTCTGCTATACGATAACATTGCCTGTAAGAATGAATGTGCACTTGAAACCCATGATTGTTATGATTGTGAAAACATGAGAGTTCATTCCTGTAGGCAGTATTCTTTTACACGACCACACTAGTATAGTACAGTAAGTATCGTTTATAAAGTGACCGGATATAATGATATACCGGTTATAGTGATAGAACACGTCAAAATCAAAATCAAATCAGAAAAATACAGCTAAAATATCACTATATACACTTTTATCGGCTATACCGATATATCGCTTATTGTGATGGACTTCAGGAAGCAAACCATATCAAATGTACAGGAAAATATCGCATATAATGATCAAGAGTGATGATCACAAAACAATTGTGTTTTTTTTGTGTTGGCCGATTTTTCTTCACTGTTTTCTGACCAGACAACATTCGCTCCTTGATCGCATCTTTTTGCTTGATGATGGTTGAAACGCTCGACTGAGGCACACCAAACTTTTTTCCTACAGCAGACTGAGACACGCTAGGGTTTCTCTCTACGAACTCTACAATTTCAGCTTTCTTCTCAGTGGGAAGACAAACTCTCTTTTTCGGCGGAGGCTCCATGACCAGACCTTTCACTGGGGAACAACTTGGCAACTAAACAGGAAGGACAGCGAAGCCCAGACTTTCAGGTTAGCTACTGTCACGAATGTCACTCGACGTAGGTCTACTCATGATCTCTTTTTGATCTCGTTGGACACCGAGTACGCGAGTACGGATCCAGCTCAGGCTTTTTTTTTGGAGAACACGCTGAAGAAGCAGCCATGCCACATGATGTATCGAAGTACTAGTACATGTTCAGTCTGTACCAGGGAATAGTAAAATGTATTTTACTACTCCCTGGTCTGTACTCGTACTGCGCTGCCATGCACTGCTCTGTGTCATGCACCGGTACTCAGTCTGCGGAGCATGCATGCACTTTCAGCATGCTTTTTCCAGCGTGTACGCATCATTTCATGTGCAGTCATGTGCCATGTGTCGGTCAAACATGCAAATCGGCTATAGTGATGCACCGGATATAGTGATAAATTTTCGAAAATCAAAAGGGCACGTTATATCCGATATTTACTGTATAACTTTTTCTTCTTTTTTACTCCCCGAAAGATAGTTACAAATGATAAGATACACAGTTAGTAAATATACAAAATTTCGGCGCTGCAAAAGTTCGGCACTTCACGATTTTTGACATTTCGGCGGCGATTTATTTTCGGCGTGGGGTAGAGGGCATGGTATAGTGCGACAGATGCTGTGAAAAATTTCATTGGCGTTTTAATTTAGGCGTTTTGGATCGGTGCCGAATATAGCCGAAATTAAATAGCTGCCGAAAATTTGTATACTGTAAAACGACAAACTTTCGCGGCGGCTAAATTTAGCGTTTTGGAAAACTGGACCAGTTAGCGGCGATTAATTTTAGCGATTTTACCTTCCACCGAAAATCAAAGAATTTTATTTTACGAAGCCTCGGAGTGCTGGGCGCAGAGTGCATGAAGAATGAGGGAAGAAATGAAAGAATGAAAGAAGGAATCAAGGCATCAAAGAGAACCATAAGGTAAGTACTAGTACTGAGAGAAAGGATGGCACGTTCGAAGAGGGATCATCGGAAGACTTTCTCTTCGAACTGCTGAGCCACTGCGATACTCATCGCGATAAAAATAATTCAGAAGACTTCTTCGAGCAGTACAACACTAAAATCTACGCAACAGCAAGCTGGCCAAACGCTCCAAGAAGTTCAACAACACTTTCCACAACACTGAGACATTCTTCAGTCGATCGATTTATTCTCTTCTAGTTCAAGTCGCCGTACTCCAACGACAACTAATGAGTAATGTTTGTTACTTGCAAGACTGGTGAGTGGTGTTGGTACGTAACCCGTCGTTGCAACAGCTGCGCTCTTTGGTTGGACATAGCCGGCCGTGCAAGCATCGATCAGCGCTGTGAATGTACAGTCAGTGCTAGTGAGTGATACATGCGCGCGCACGTAGACCTACTCGTACGACTCGTACTGTACAGATCTGTTGCAAAACGATCGATCATCGACGCATCGATCGCGTAGTACAAATAATAATTTCATATTCGCGTGTCAAACTTTCGCGATTCGACCCTGCTCGCGAAAGTCGCGAAAGTTAATCGCTCGCGAAAGTTTGTCGTTTTACAGTATTTACAGTATTGGACATGTACAATCATGTACATGTACATGCAGCAGTACAGTTGGCACCTATGACATGAATAGTATAACCGATGCGCACTGTAGACTGTAGTACTTCGAAGTACAGTACTCAGTAGTACTGTACTGTAGTACATTCTCATGGTACATTGTATAGGGCTTGAAAGTGCTACGTCACAGCATAGCAACAATTTTAAAAATTCAAAATTGGATCCACTTGGATCCAGTTTTTGTATGGATCCAAGCACATTTCAAGCGGTCTTACCCACAGCATGGCGATGTAGCCAGTGAAACTGACTGATTTGGCTACTGGGGGCGGGGTTACAACTGGTGGTGAAATAAAAGTCACACATGCATGCGACATGAGTGGGTTGCTATGCACCCACATACTTAGGCAATAGCAAAGTCACACCTTAGTGGATCCAAAAATAGAAATCTGATGTCAACTTACTACTCCCTGGCCGTTTTGACGTCATCACTTTCAAGCCCTATTAGATAAACCTTGCTTTTGTTCAAACATGTTGCTGGTTGACAACATGTAGCAAGGTGGAGGACACCGTGTTCGGAAACAGAGACCTTTCTACCAACCGTGGATGGTTGGTAGAAACATCTCTGCTTCCGTACACGGTGACCGTGTCTTCCACCGTGTTACATGCTGTCAACCAACACCATGCTAGTACAATAGGCTGCACGCATTACACATCAAATACAACAACTTCAAGTAATCCCTACCTCAATTCTGCTTCGTCCACGTTTTCTGAGAGTCCACCTACGTGAAGTCGAGCTTCGCTTGCCATTATTATTGCAAACAACTCGAGCAGGCGACAAAGCCAATCGTAATTTCCAATTCAGGCGGACAGGTCTAAAAATTACATTCACGAGCAACCAAAGCCTGTGTGACAAATGCCTCTTCCAAAACTCTGAGAGTCGCTTCTAGATTGCGAGAAAGAAGTATGTGTGGTCCTTGAGGTAGCTAGTACAGGCACGGCTTAGTGAAGAAAGACAGGACAAGCTAGGAAAGGCCGCTAGTGCACTCTGCAAGCGCTGCGCCAGAATGCTTTGCGAAAAGAAGAGGAATGAGCCTGATTCTGTCATGATAGTCGGGTACTTGTACTAGGCGTGGACTTGCCTTTGCGCTGATTCGCTCGGCCAGCAATGCGTGCGTCAGGTACAGGTGTCACCAAAGATCGCCCTCACACTGTGGCGCTGATGCAGTGAGGGTCTAAGACTAGTACTAGTAGTACTAGGAGTAGGCTACTGGTACTACTGCTTGCCATCCCGCTGGCGCTGGAACCTTCATGTAACTGACTACTGTATACCGTAGGTCTCCACATTCTTGACGTGATCATGGTGATCTTCAGTCGAGTATGACTTATACTATAGTCGATAGTTATACAACGATTATGATTGTAGCTATTGACTATTGGTAGTAATCATGGAAATGCTGTAGCTGTGTTCACTGCATGCTGCTGCCACCGGAAACACTGCAACTCATTACTAGTTACTAAGTCTTACAACTAACTGTTACTTACAAGTACAAGTGCAGGTGACGTGACTTTTGTCTGTCATCATTTGGCCAAGTAACTACGCGTTGTCAACAAGCTGTGGAGAAGTCTGTCGTCACAGCTTCTTGACTACGCGTAGTTACTTGGCTTTTAAAAGTACGGCACTTGTATTTCGTAGGTTTCCAAATAATTCCAGTGGCGGCAGCATGCAGTGAACACAGCTACAGCCTACACGTATTCTGTCATGATGATTGATGGTCAGGTGCATGTGCATTGTACATGATTGTACTAGCCTAGGTGTGGGCTTGCCTTTGCGTGGATTCGCTCCGCCAGCAATGCGCGCCTCAGAGGTCACCACGGTCGCCCACACCCACGCTGTAGGTAGCGCAGCCCTGGTGGTCTCAGAGTGCTACTGAGTACTTGCCACCCCGCTGGCACATTTAGTTATTTTTTGATCATGTCACCACGTACTTGTAGTGAATTCTGCACATTCTTGACGTGATCTTCAGTTGTGTATGACTTACACAATGATTAGGTAGCTATTGCCGTATTGGTAATAATCATGGTACTACTTATGCTGTACTGTCTACACTAACTGTGTTCAATGCATGCTGCTGCCACTGCACTGGAAACACTACAACTAATAATAAAATTATTAATATTTTTACTTGTAGTACAAGTACAGGTGACACGGCTTTTGTGTCACCATTTGGCCGCGTTGGCAAGAAGCTGTGGTGAAGTGTGACGTCACAGCTTCTTGACAGCGCGTAGTTACTTGGCCAAATGCCAAACGGTGACAAAGAAAAAAGGCGTCACATGCACTTTGAAAAAAGTACTACTATTACGGGTACTATTACTAAGTCTTGTACTGTTTGTAGTGTTTCCAGTGCAGTGGCACCAAGCATGCAGAGAACACAGCTACAGGCTACAGCATCATTTTGACTGAGGAACGTGGTCGACGTCTAGTGCGCGAGATAATAATAATAATTATTAGTAATTTTATTTCACACACAACAGAGGCGAAAGGCTGTGTTAGCTGAAACATTAAAATTTCATGCATCGGAACGACCATCAGACAGCAGCATTCACTATCGAATTCTCTACGAGCAGGCCTAGATATTTGATGCTAGTGTGGAAGTTAGTGCATATGTGCGAAATGAAGACGTGGCATTGGGACAGTGGTATTGACTTGTTTTGTGAAAGTTAACGGCTGCCCTGTTATCGCCTCTATTCTCACCTATATCTGTTAACTTTCACAAAACAACTCAACACCACTGTCCCAATGCCACGTCTTCACTTCGCACAAATGCACTAACTTCCACACTAGCATCAAATATCTAGGCCTGCTCGTAGAGAATTCGATAGTGAATGCTGCTGTCTGATGATCGCTCCGATGCGTGAAACCTTTTAAAGTTACAGCTAGCTAACACAGCCTTTCGCCTTTAGCCATTGGCGGACTATGCTCGGCCAATCGTCAAATTATGCTTTTGATTATGCCACAATTATGCCAACAACTATGCTGAATTATGAATAATAATAATAATTTAATAATACCAAACCAGTTAATAATTTAATAATAGCTATGAAAAGTATGAATGCCGCAGACATCACCACGCAACATGACAATTTGTTCAAGGTTTGGTTTTGTGTGTTTCCAAAATCGATTTTCACGCTCCGATCATCAGTGGAAATACGGAACTAAAGAGATCAAGGGAAAAACAAAGGTAAAAAATCCAAAGAAGTGTGACACATGACGGGTAACTTGTGGTAAGTATTACAAAAAGTGAGAACTAAAATAAAGAGTAAGTGTGACAAACGGGCATGAACAGTGCAGAAACAACTCATGAACACGGGGTGCAAACTCACGAAAATAACCAAAGTGCTAAAACATGTTCTTTTTGCTTACACAAATCGGGCTTATGCTGTGCGGACACCGCAGCACCCTCCGGCGCTTGATCCGTGGGTCCAGAGACCACGGAGGTCGACCGCCAATTATTCAATCGAAATATATGCTAGGAATGGCCAAGGCCCACGCGGAGCATCGAAGGAGACCGGAAGCCGGGAGCAAAACGGAACACAATCTCGGGACGTAGATGAGGTAAGGACAGTGCCAGTGGCACGGGACAGACGTAGGAAGGAGAACATGGATGGTATCAGACGACTGACTGGTGGTGAATATGAGTTGGGTGATGATGCGGCGGATGACGAGGATACAGATGACGGCGAGGATACAGATGACGACGAGGCGGGTGATGACGAGGCGGCGGATGACGACGAGGCGGATGACGATGAGACGGCTGGTGGTGATGGTGATAAAACGGACGAGGAGGAGTCAGGTGGCAGGGAAGTTGATGGAGCTGATGAGGGTGAAATTCGTAAGAAGTCAGCTGTGTACTTGCATTTTGTTATCTCGTCCCGATTGTTTGAGTGTGTATGATGATTCCACTTCTCTGTACTGTGTCGTGCCCGTTATGTCCAGCAGTTGAAGGTCCTTGAAGCTGTTTGTATTCGTACGCATAAGCCCGATTTGTGTAAGCAAAAAGAACATGTTTTAGCACTTAGGTTGTTTTCGTGGGTTTGCACCCCGTGTTCATGAGTTGTTTCTGCACTGTTCATGCCCGTTTGTCACACTTACTCTTTATTTTAGTTCTCACTTTTTGTAATACTTACCACAAGTTACCCGTCATGTGTCACACTTCTTTGGATTTTTAACCTTTGTTTTTCCCTTGATCTCTTTAGTTCCGTATTTCCACTGATGATCGGAGCGTGAAAATCGATTTTGGAAACACACATACCCAAACCTTGAACAAATTGTCATGTTGCGTGGTGATGTCTGCGGCATTCATACTTTTCATAGCTATTATTAAACTTTTATCTCCACGTAGATTATTTGAATAATAATAATTTGAAACTCGGATGTTGAGCCATAAATAAATGTAGAAGAGAAAAGGACATATGGATACGAGTTAAGAGTAACTCTCCATCACTGTAACATGATACTATATACAGTCAGAAAGTGCAATAACTAGGCACAAAACTGACAGAGTACTGAGACATTCGACCTCCTGACACCTAACTTCAACACATCTCCGTAGCGCTAACCGACAGCCTTCCAACTTGGAAGGTTCAAGGTTATGGAAAGACCAAAGAGGGGAAGGCAAGCGCAACGAAAACGAGCAAAAGCTACAGTCCCAACGGAACAAAGAATGTCGATTGTTACTGGACGATGACGAGACCAGTACGATATTTGACAAAGCGGTCTAACTACAATTCGAAGCAGCAAAGCAGCACACCACCCAACTTGGGTGGGTCATAAATATCAAAGATAAGTAAAGAAAGGGAAGCTTTGCGAAAACGAATTGTACAAGCCGAAAGCCAAACTCCTACAGTACTCCTCATGCATGACATTGTGATGGACTAGTTGACTACAAAACAAGTTGTTTCACACGACGTGCGTTTCGCCGTATGGTTCGTGACGGCTCATCAGGTGTGCAATTTTGTGTAGACACGTAACACTTTTTAGCACTTGATGTAGCAATGACAATGTAGTCATGTCAGGTCAATGACTATCTACATGTACGTATGTACTTCGAAGTACGTGTGCCCAATCAAAGTTGTGGCAAAAATTCGCAAACAAAGATTTGCAAGGAGGAAAATGTTCTGTCGAAAACATAGAGAGTCACGGAGGCGAAGTGAATGTCGAAAAGCCGAAGAGAAGTTTCTCGTTGTGCCTCAGGCTCTGAAGATAGCGTCACTAGTCTAGTAGCGATACGTAAATAGACGCCAATCCTCAGATATACATGCACTAGGACCGGGCTGAAAGAGCAGCTGCAAGCAGAAAGAGATGTATATTGTTCCGACGAACTGCCTTTGCGGAGTCCAGCCGAACTGGCTCGAAAAGAACTGGAATTACTCTTGGATTCAGCACCAATTCTGATTTCGTTATGAGCACTCTGCAGCAGCGCGTGTCTGAGTTTCCTGATGAAACACGTACAGTTAGACGTGGACAGCTGTACTCCCAAGACAATAGTGACTGAGTCAAGTGCTATCAACAAAAAAGAGTACATGACTCTTGTCAATGTTGTCACCCAGTTGTCTATGCAACGCCACAAGGAGAAGAAGACTACAAAAGTAAATGCAGTAGAGCAGCAAAATAATCTGGCCACATTTTTTTAAGGCTTACCGCAAATGGAAGGGATCTGGATCCAAAATCAGCCTAATATCTGCTGTTTCAGATGAAGAGATTATTCACAGAACCAATGCAGTGACAGCTTGTCTGCAGGCAGGACTACCAGTTGCCAAGATAAACCTCATCCCAATGATCCCTAACATAGTTTACACATGTCACTCCCTGGATAACGGCGGGACAGTGTAATGATATCATATACACTATTCACTCAGTATTCAGTCATAAAAAATATAATAAAAATTTCACGGTTCGCGTGAGACTCGGCTGGAAGCTGGGCTTTCCGCATCCGTAGGAACGCCACCACCCTTCAAGGATCAAGGCGCAGATGCAGCTCCTAAAGCTAGGCATGGGCGGGTAATGCTAGTTATTTGCTGCGATAATGCTAAAGGCAATGCTCATAATATGAG